GCATGCAAAATACCAGGCGAAAAGCAGTTTTAAGCAGACTGCCCCTATGGCTGATTGTGTCAGCCACAATGTACTGCAATGTAAGCAGTGTGAAAGCTTTAAGGTGAAAATGACACACACTGTGAGATGTGCTTATCCCATCACGAGCCAGTAAGGATATTAGGAAAAGCATGATGGAAATTATGACTGGAATAAGCTTGCATCTACTGCTAAAGCTTAAAGAATCCAAGCCCATCTCTCTCTCTCTCTCTCCCTTTTTCCCTCCTTTTTCTTGCCCTCTCATGCCATGCCACTTCTAACCCATTTTATTTCCCTGCAGTGTAAATCTGTATTTCTCAAAAAGACACAATTTCCACATTTCAGCCTGTGGAATTTGCTATTCCTTTCTCGTTCTCTAAAACCACACAGCTCTTTTGCCTGTCAAGGAACTTACTTTCTGGACTACAGCCTACTTTCCAAAATTTCAGGAAAGGAGGAGAACATTTATTAAACTTTTGAAAAGACAACAAAACCATCTTCCCGAGAAAGTGGTGAAGTCACGACGCCATGCTTTAAGGATGATAAAGCAGTCACACTTTGTTGGTCTTGCAATAATTTTGACATGTTCCAGGTTCAATAGAAGCTAAGCTCATTCGACACCATTTGTGGCACAACTGCACAAAAACAAAAACGATTTCAACTTTTCAACTTTTGAGGATACTACAGACAAAACACAGTTTTTTCACGCATCTTTCAATTATGAGATTTTTGGGCTTTTGGGCATTTCATAAAGTATTTTTATCTTTTCAGACTAGTGGAAAGAATACATCCTAAATGCTCTTTTTAAGTGTTTCTTCTATCTGTTTGCGTCTGTAGAATTCAATTAAACATATGTTCAAAGACCATTTTCTCAAAATGAGATTTTTCTGCTGCACAGAGCCAAAAATCTACACTTCAGCTGCACTTACACCCCAAAACTTTACAGTTTTATTCCGATCTATATTCTAATTTTATATTCTAAAGTTTGTTCATATATCTATTACCTGATTTTACTGTATACAACATTTTATTCCTGAAAAATTGTGAAAATGTAATTATTTTTTTTTATTATTATTGAAAATTTTCTAATTTATGGAGTGATAAAAAGAAAAATACAAAATCCCCTCTGTCTTTTATTCTAATATGTCAACAAAATGAAACAGGAATTTTGAACCTAGCTTCATCCAATGTTCAGATTTTTATTCTGGAAATGTATGCAAATTATTGCATATGTAATTAGATTAATTTTGCATGTTTAAACATAACATTTCAGAAAACTTGTAATACAACATTTTTTTTAAATTCTTAATGTAATCAATCAACTCTATGGTGATTTGTATTTGTTTTTTTGTTTGTTTGTTTTACCCTGTTCACCTGGGGTGTTTAAGTTTAAAAGCAGAAAGCTTATCATTTATAATTATACTTGTATTAATTATTATGTTAAAACTTGGATATTATTTGTTATATTGTTTGTTATGTCATCATGGCAATTAACATGTGACTGTAACTTTAAACAGAAAAGGCTAGTAAGCCATTTTTCCTTTTCTTGTGCTAATCAACATTATGCCACAAGTGCTATAGATTGAGCTGAGTTGTATTGAATGTGGATTATTCCTTTTATTTACATTTCATGTAACTGATATGACAAGTGATTTAGAAGTGTAAAAACTGTCTAAATAGAGAGAATGTTAAAAGTGTTTATGTCTAAAACACCAACATTTTATTTAATAGAATTCTTCAACCTTATGCTGTACATCTTTGTGACATTTGACATTTTTCATATTTGCCAGGGTGGCTCACAGAAACACCTCCAGCAGACGTGTTAGCCCTGAGTTCGCTGAGTTAGGCCAGAACTAGCATGTGATTAATGTGAAGCTCACTAACCCCCATGGTGAACTGGGAGACCAGGGGTCGAGTCTATTTTTCTTTGTGAACGCTTGTGGCTAAACCTGAGTGCAAACGTTGTTCATCATTGCGCCACATTAGCTCGGCAGAGCATTGACTGGCACAAACCAGAAGCGTGTGCCCCTTCACTTTGATTAATGTTCACAAACACTCACTCCAACTCTATCATGAGTGAAGACCTGGCATCTATTAGGAGCGGTGCACACATACATATAACCCCTGGAATAAATGTTGGCCTGTGGCTCTGAACCCTCCATCTGATTTGTTCATACATAGTGTAAAGGAGATGGATTTTTTTTTTAATTAAATTAATTAAAGTTGCTCTCACCCCACATCCGAAAATGTCTACTTCCAGACTATTTAGTATGCAAAAAAAAAAGTATGTCAAATGAGATGCGCAGTTTGCATAAAAATGCAATTTTCACAAAGTATGTGAAAATTCCTCACATGACCTGCACCTCTGATGAACATTGATTTTACTATCCCACTACTAGGCCATGGGAGAGGATTTTCCAATGGCAGAGAACAGTAATATGGCTGACATTTTAGATCACATGACAAATCCGACCTGTTGGATGATGCATGTCCAGATATGTATACTCCACATATTTGAAGAACATACTTTTTTAGCAGTTTAGAAGTATGTAGGCTACTTTAATGCTTTACTTTAATACATTTGTTCATCACAATTGTACCAAGGATGTTGGTATTAACACCCATCAGCCTTGATTCTGACAGCTATAGGTCAATTCTTAGAGGTAGTGCATATAGTTGTATAATCAGGCCAAGAACATTAATGAGAATATTTTACATTATATTTAGGAACAGGCATCAAAAGAGCTTCAATGTGATAACATTTTTTGTTTAATTGCAACTGCCACAAATTTTGGATTTCTTTATTTAACACTCTTACTAGATATTTGTTTGAATACACTATTTTAAATGTTAAACATTCAAAAAATATAATCACAAATTTAAAAACTTCAACTTATTTTAGCTTAAACATTTTAAAAAGTCTAATTTTGATTAGAAAGGTGGTGTTTTTCTTCCAAATCTATTTAGAGTCTCTGAGAACAGATACTGTGTAGACCTGGAGAAATACAGTAGGGAAAAAAAGTATTTAGTCAGCCAATTGTGCAAGTTAAAAGATGAGAGAGGCCTGTAATTTTCATCATAGGTATACCTCAACTATGAGAGACAAAATGAGGAAAAAAAATCCAGAAAATCACATTGTAGGATTTTTAAAGAATTTATTTGCAAATTATGGTGGAAAATAAGTATTTGGTCAATAACAAAATTTCATCTCAATACTTTGTTATATACCCTTTGTTGGCAATGACAGAGGTCAAACATTACAGGCCTCTCTCATCTTTTTAAGTGGGAGAACTTGCACAATTGGTGGCTGACTAAATACTTTTTTGCCCCACTGTATATTCAGATTTTATATTTTATTTAGTATTTTAATATTTTAAGGTACTGTTATGACGTTTTCGTTCTTTCTTTCTTTCTTTTAAAAAATGCTCAAAACGATATACAGACAATGACAGATAATAATTAATGATACACTCTAAAAAATGCTGGGTTAAATACAACCCAGTGCGGGGTAAAATAGGGACAAATCCAGCAATTGGGCTGTTTTGACCCAGCGGTTGGGTTACTACCCAGAAGGTTGGGTTAAACATTTAACCCAACTGCTGGGTCAAA